TTGGAGTGCAAACAAGTTAACTATTTTAAAAATGTTAAAAACATGAAGTTATCAATTCCAAATCATCATATACTTCCGATTTCGACTTCAGATGCGACATCCTATCTCTAATCAATTTCTCAATTTGATTTTGATTTCCGAAAATCCGATTGGGAACCTATGAGTACCGATTCTAAGTCCCTCAATGTCGATTGTGATTGCGAGTCCAGAACTCCGATTCCAATTACATGAACAGCGAAGAAATTCCGGTTTAGTTGAAGAAATCTGGATGATTATTGAAGGTTGTAAGAAAAATTTTGATGATGAACGAATAGTTATTGAATTCTCTATAGTTACGTATTTGATATTGAAGGTTATTACGATATTTACAAGTTTGTCACCGTATCTCTTATGCTTAGATTAAATGAGTGGCTGAGAATGATTCCCCCATTCTCAACCTTTTTTATTTTCTCAATTAAACCCACCTCTCTCTCACTCTCTCTCTCTCTCTCTCTCTCTCTATATATATATATATATATATATATATATATATATATATATATATATATATATATATATATATATATATATATATATATATATATATATATATATAGGGTTAGGTTCATGTGAGACGACCTAATTTTCTGAGACCGTGAGCCGTATTTTTTTATTTTTTTTAAAATTTTTTTAGTTAATTCAAGTTCCGAAAATAATATTTAAAAAAAAGAATTTTTGGATTTTTCCATTTATTTTGCATTTTAAAATTATTTTTTAAAATATGCTAGTGTAATATTCTATTAGAATATTTCACATATTTTTCAAAAAAAATGTAATTTATTTTTACTTATTTTTACTTTTTTTAGTTATTTCAAGTTCCGAAAACAATTTTTAGATTTTTCCATTTATCTGCATTTTAATTTTTTATTAGAATATGTCAGTGTAATATTCTATTAGAATATTTCACTTATTTTAAAAAAAAAAACGGAATTTTTTTTATTTTTTTTATATTTTTAGTTAATTCAAGTTTCGAAAATAATATTTAAAAAAAGAATTTTTGGATTTTTCCATTTATTTTGCATTTTAAAATTAATTTTAGATTTGGTCTCACGGTTTAACAAAATTAGAATGGTCTCAAATGAACCTGAACTTATATATATATATATATATATATATATATATATATATATATATATATATATATATATATATATATATATATATATATATATATATATATATATATATAAAGGAGGGGTTCAATAGAGAACCAATAAGGGAGGGGTTCGTCAAAATGAATCTAGAAGGTTTATTTGACTGCTATTCATTTCCGATTATCTCATTTAATGCATTTTCAACATTATATTTTTTCAATTGATAAATTTCAAAACGACAAATCTAAACAATCTGATACATTATGTATTCGATGAATCTATGAATAAACTATTTTACTAACAAAACTATTTTAGACTGATTTGAAACCCTCGGATGATGAACTTTTAATAATTCGTATACATTACGAAAACCTAATGATTTAAATTTCTTGAAATTGATACAGAAATCATGAATGTCTATATTACAAACTGAAATTTCCTAAAACTTTGTGAATCTGACTCGAATATGAGTTTATTAAGTAAATCAAAACCCTAATTTCATGAACTTGTATAAATACCTAATGATATAAATTTCTTCAAATCGATATAGAAATCATCAATATCTAAATTACAAATCGTAATTTTCTAAAAATAAGTGTTTTCTGAGTTTATCCATTAAACTGAAAAACTAATTTCACATTTTGAATTCACTGTGTGCTTTGTGATTTACATTTGATTATTTTGAAAGCATTCAATGTTTCTGAGAATTACATTATTTATCAATTCACAAAGTGAATCATGGTTATATATAAATTTAACATATCATTTATTCAAATTGTAAATTCACGGGGTTATTTATCATTTACATTTAATTTTTTTATCTTGTGAAATTCACATTGTGCATCTATGTTTAATTGATATTGTATCTCTTATTGTGTTTTTCATTGTGAATTTATAAAGAGTTGCATTGGTAATGTTTTGATTCAAACTGAATTCACAATGTGAATAAATATTATGTTAAATTCATTTGTAATCCATATTCACATTGTGAAATATATGAATAAATCATAACTTTCATACCATGAAATTGATGTTTGAATTAATTTGTTAATCAAAAACAGGAAATGAAGAAAATATCAATGAAAAAAAGGATAATAAGAAAAGAATGAAATTGACAAGAAATCTAAAAGATGTTCTACCTTCAACTACAAGTGAAAAAATTGAAGATATTCAAGATAAAAAAAAGGTTAGAACATTCGCATTCAGATTAAAATAACTAATTATCTAATCCTATACTACACACTTATTTAAAAAAAAAAAAAAGTAATTCACAATGTGAATCTTGGATGTATGTCTTACATTCACACGGATTCATTGTGAATCTATTAAATTTTTTTCAAGTTGATCAACACTTTTGTTTGTATTCACTATGCACAAAATAATTTTAAAAATTCACCATGTGTATGTGTACATCACTTGGTGAACCTCAAACTCTTTTGTTGTTAAATGCATAAATTCATAATTTGAATCTTGGATGTATGTCTCACATTCACACAGATTCATAATGTGAATCTCTTAAAAAAATTTCAAGTTGGTAAACACTTTTGTTTGTATTCACTATGCACAAAATAATTTTAAAAATTCAACATGTGTATGTATACATCACTTGGTGAACCTCAAACTCTTTTGCTGTTAAATGCATAAATTCACAATGTGAATCTTAGATGTATGTCTCACATTCACACAGATTCACAATGTGAATCTCTTCAAAAAAATTCAAGTTGGTTAACACTTTTGTTTGTATTTACTATGCACAAAATAATTTTAAAAATTTACCATGTGTATGTGTACATCACTTGGTGAACCTCAAACTCTTTTGTTGTTAAATGCATAAATTCATAATGTGAATCTTGGATGTATGTCTCACATTCACACGGATTCACAATGTGAATCTCTTAAAAAAAATTCAAGTTGGTTAACACTTTTGTTTGTATTGAATATGCACAAAATAATTTTAAAAATTCACCATGTGTAGTGTACATCTTTTGGTGAACCTTAAACTCTTTTGCTGTTAAATGCATAAATTCACAATGTGAATCTTGGATGTATGTCTCACATTCACAATGTGAATCTGTTAAAAGAAAAAAAATTCAAGTTGCTCAACACTTTTGTTTGTATTCACTATGCACAAAATAATTTAAAAATTCACCATGTGTATGTGTACATAACTTGATGAACCTCAAACTCTTATGCTGTTAAATGCACAAATTCACAATGTGAATCTTGGATGTATGTCTCACATTCACACAGATGCACAATGTGAATCTGTTAATTTTTTTTTTCAAGTTGGTCAACACTTTTGTTTGTATTCATTATGCACAAAATAAGTTTAAAAATTCACCATGTGTATGTGTACAACACTTGGTGAGCCTCAAACTCTTTTGTTGTTAAATGCATAAATTCACAATGTGAATCTTGGATGTATGTCTCACATTCACACAGATTCACAATGTGAATCTCTTAAAAAAATAAATTCAAGTTGGTCAACACTTTTGTTTGTATTCACTATGCATAAAATAATTGTAAAACTTCACCATGTGTATGTGTACATCAGCTGGTGAACCTCAAACTCTTTTGCTGTTAAATGCATAAATTCACAATGTGAATCTTCGATATAGCTCATAGCCTAATAGATTTGCAATGTGAATTTCTAAAAAGTTTTTGGAATTCGATCATCACATGTTCAATTTTATATTGTTTGACATGTATTTCATAATACTACTTATAATGTTGACATTGAGATTAAAAATTTCACATTTTGTAGTTGAAGGTTCAAAACAATATACCAAAAAAAACAGCAAGGAGAACCGTGGTTGAAATAGTTAATAAATTAACAAAAAATGAAGATGAAAAGACTATTGATGAAAATATTGAAAAAGAAAAAAGTTTAGAAGGTGATGAGATTCAAAAAAAAAAAACAAACAAACAAAAATAATGAAGCAAGATGAATCTATTTTGAAGACACTTAAAAAGAAAACAACACAAGGTTAGTATTTGTAAAATTATAATTTACTTTAATATATAAAATCAGTTATCTTTAATTTTTTTTTTTTTAATTTGAACAGAAATTAGACAGAGTCCAAGATTACAAAAAACAAAAATGAAAAAGTCGATGAAGCAAGACAAAGGTTAGTATTTATTAAATTATAATTAATTTTATTAAATTATAATTAAATTATTAAATTATAATTAAATTTGATATTACAAAATTAATTCTTATTTATTAAATTATAATTAAATTTGATATTATAAAATTAACAACCGAAGGTTAGTATTTATTAAATTATAATTAAATTTGATATTATAAAATTAATTCTTATTAATTTTGTTAAAACATGAACAGAAATCAGACAGAGTCCAAGACTTAAAATGATTGACTCCTATTAAAGTTGATGATAGCCTTGTAAAGAAAGAATTTGATGAAAAAATAACAGGTTTGTTTATTACTATTCAAATGTTTAATTTACAATGTTATAAACAAATTCACATGTTTATTTTATGTATTATATTATATTTTGCAAAACAAATTCACATGTGAATTTCTTGTATTGTTAGTTATTTTATAGTATATATGTTATATTATGAGAAGCTTATGAAAATTAGTGAGTAACAGGAAAAAGAAAAAGAAAAACAAAGACTCCGGAAGTAGTTAAAGAAAAAAAGGTAAAAGTGACAATAAATCCAAATGACACAGTATCTTTGAGAGCAAGAATGAGCTCAAAGATGTTTTATGATATTGTTAAATCTTTAAACAAAGAACAAAAAAGTTGTTAGAGAAATGGGATTTGGATCTTTGTTGAGAATTGCAACCAATGGAATTTCTGGGAAACTGGCACGTTTTCTTGTGAATTCATTCAATGATCAAATATGAAAATCCATCTACCTAATGCAAAGATAGACATAACACCAGAACTTGTTCATGATTTGCTTGGAATTCCTCTAGGTGGAAAAGATATATATAACACTGATCAATGTGAAGGAAAAGATTTAATGGATTGGAAGCAACAATACAATTTCAAGGCTATGAGACCATCAGATGTTGAAGAGAGAATTAAAGAATCATCAAATTCAGAGATTATTTTCAGAACAAACTTTTTATTATTGATTGTTAATACCATATGTGAACAGAATAAGCTTGGAACTTGTAAGACAACAATATTGCCACATTCTTTAGGCAAAACACCTATAAGAGAAATTGATCAGTATGGTTTTATAACCAATTGCTAGAAAATGTCAAAGATGACGTGGGATGAAACCGATAGAGGAAACTACTATTGTGGGCCACTTCTTATATTATTGGTAAGGAAAATTCTTATAATTAACACTTTTATTTGTATTATTATAAGAAAACTAATTAATCATAATTTTGTTTACATAAACAGCTAACTTATTTGGAGTTTATGAGAAATGATAAGAATTAAAAAAGACAAATACATGCACTACATTTTTGGGATTATGAAATGATGGTGAAAAGGGAAAAAACTGAGTTAAAGAGTGGTGACTTTGGAACTTTGGAATGGAATGATGATGTTATAGAGAATGATGAAGAATCCAACACCGATGAAAATGAAGATATGAAACTCGATGTAAGTTAATAATCTATATAATTAAAAAAATTGAAGTTATATTACAGATATATGTTATAAAATTTTAGTTAAGATGAAATTCATAAAGTGATTCACACTGTGAATATAAAAGTGTATTTTATTACTTTTGTATAATAAATTCACAAAGTGAATATGCAATTTCTTAAAATGCATTAAAATGTGATACCTCATTAATGCATTCATATTCTAAAACTATAATTTATTATAGAAAAAAGTTAAAAAAAAATCATTTTTATTGACATTTTTTATCTCATTCCGCAGGAATTGGTATTCAAAGCGAAAAAGAATTACAAAAAACTAGTGAATGATAAAATGAAGTTTGGAAAGTTAATTGAGTTTTCAACAACAAAATTCATAGAAAGCGATGAGTTGAAAGATATGAAGAAAGTCTTTGAACAAGAATTCATTTATAAAACTCAAAATGAAGATGATGCAAAAAGTGACAAGAATGAAGATGAAGAAAAAAGCTATGAGAATTTGAATGAACATGAAATAAAGAATCAACCGATCATGGTAACACCAGGAAATTTGTACAATGATCCAATAGTGCATGAGATTGCTGATTCTATTCAATGTATTTAAAATTTTGATGATTATGAAGATTTTGAAAATGTAAAAAGTTTTAGAGAACAAAAAAATAAAAAAACAATAATAGATGATAAAAAAAATAAGAAAAAAATACTATAAAATAATCAATGCCTAGTTTTTCACTTGGACTTGGACTTGGTCTAACACAAGAGTTTCAGGAAGGAGATGAAACCAGTGAAGATGAACACATGAAGAAAGAAATAAAAGATGAAAAACTTGATGAAGGAGAAAGTTATGATTCAGAAGAAACAGAATGTGACAATAATATCTTGGGAATTGAAGATGATGAAGACAAAAAAAAAAAAGAGAAGTAGGAAAAAGATTAAAAAAACCATCATTGAAGCTATCTTCTCCTTATAATAAAAAGAGGTTTGTGCATCAAAATGTAGATCTAGATGAAGTAAAAGTATCAGATAGAATTTTTTCCAAAATTGGTAATCGCAGGTAATAATTCATGTTATCTTTTATTTAAATATAATAGTATATAAATGCAAATACAAATTAATTTCCTATTAACTGCTTTTTTGTTTTATTTGATTACAAATTAAGTGAGATGGTATTTCATACTAGGAGAGGTTATATGCTTGGAAGAGGAATGATTGAAACAATGCAGTCAGGATTATGGTACATGCACATGTCATTGATGCTTGGACTGATATTTTGAACTACGAAGAAAAGCTTAAATCAAATTCTACAGTGAATCGGTATTTCTTTGATACATCAATGGTGGTAAGTTAATTAAAAAATATATATCATGATAATGTTTACAATATAATAAATAAAATTTTCAATAGTTCTGAGTAAGTAAGAAAATTCACACAGTGAATCCCATTATAATTCACAGTGTGAATAATTTTAAATTTAAAATTTACCTTATTGTGAATTTAACAATTTACTATTTAAAGTTTGATGTATATTAAAAAAAATTTGCAGAGACAGTTCATATTTGACAAAAATATCCCTTTCAATCAAAGATTTGATAAATTTGAGTCAAATATCAAAGATGCTATGAATAAGGACAAACAACTTCTAACATTTGAAAAAATTCACTTGGTAATAAACTGTTCTTTTTGTTGAATATATTACATATTTTAAATAAAGTTTCACAATTTGAATTATTAAACTTCTGACAGGTGTTTTTATCAGTTCATCAAAAAAATCACTTTTACATCATCTGCATAAACTTAGAGGAACCAGCGGTTGATGTCATTGACAATAGGAATTCAGTTGCAAAGTTTTCTAGAGCTTATCATGATGCACCTAATGAATTGGTAAGAATAGTAAATTTACATTATAAATATAAGTATTAATAGACTGATAATCTAAATAAAATAATAATTATAGAAAATGACAATTTCTTTTTTGCAGAAAATACTTTTTAATAGGTACTTGATGAGGGTCAATCACAAATCAGCTTCAACTTTGGAGGGTGTTGAACCAAAAAATATGAACATGAATTTGCGCACGAGGGATAATCATGTTGACTATGGAATTTTTTGCATGCGTCAAATGGAGACATATATGGGAGATAAAACAGTAAATTGGACATGTGGGTTGCCAAAAGAATCAAAACAACAACAAAGTGTGTTAAACGTTTTACGCATTAAGTCTTTGACAAAGATACTATTGAGTGACGCAAACACATACAGGTCAAAAATCATTGCACAAACAGCTAAGTTCACAAAAAAGACTAATGAAGAATAAAAGATTTGCTTAACAAGGGATGGGAAAAAAGGGGAGAAAGGATATAGTACTCCAAGAATTGGAAAAAGTAGTGTAAAACTTGAAATTTAGTTTTTTATTCATAATTAGTATAAGTTTAGATGCACTTTAATTTCTTTAAGAACATATACATGCTAGTTATGTTACAATTTGATGTTAGTTTCTATATCAAATATAATGAACTTTACTAAATACTTAAAAGATGTTTATATTTTCATGTGAAGGTCTACATGTATGTTATACAATTACATGTTTTATTAAAAATATGCTATTGGTGGGTAGGTGGGTGGGGGGAGTGATTATATTTCTACTTTGAATAAAGAATTGAAAGTAAATTGTCATTTCATATATTTACTTTATTTCTTTTAGTCTCAATGATTAAATGTTAATGTAATAAAAATACAATATATATAGAAAATTTACATTGTTTATATGTTAACCTTGTGAAAATTTTATATGTCAGATTCACAATGTGAATTACAGTACATATTATAACATGTATATTTTATATGTAAGGTTCACAATGTGAATCATGGTACATGTAGATCATTAGAACAATTAATAGCTGAGATTCACAATGTGAATTAAATTACATTAAGATAATCTTTAACATGAAAATTTTATATATGAGATTAACAATAATATACATAAATTAAATCATTAGCATGAAATTTTTATTAGAAAAGATTCAAAAAACTAACAATAAAAAATTATCTTTAACCAAAAACAATAACTTTGAAAAAAAAAGATATTATATTATTAGAAATAAAGTCTAAAACAATAAATATCAAAATTAACATCAATATTTCAACATTTCTATCCATTGAATGACCATTACAATAATCAAATCTTATTTTAGTAGTCTTAAAAAGAAAAAAAAAAGAAACAATCAGCCTTCTGTAACCTCAGATTCTAAATCAGACTTCTTTAACCTCAAAATGCAACTCCTAGCATTGTGATTTGGTTTATGACATAAACTGCACAACCTAGAACCCTTTTTAGATTTCTCCATCACTTTCTCTCTAGTTCTCTTGATTCTTTTACCACTAGCCCATCCCTTGTTTCTGATCCCCTCTGGATTATGAATGTTGATAACATCAGGTACTGCAGCTCCAATAATTTTTTAATGTGAACTGATCTACTAGAAGATGCTCTTAATGAGGTACATAAAGGAATACCACTATCAACCTCTTGAATTTGCTATCTTGTTAATGGACAAATGAAGAATAGCATACGCATCTTGAATCAAACATTCATTTTACTGCCTTTATGAGGATATGAGTACTTTTTTTCTCAACAATCCATCAGCTATGATATCTTTTCCCCATCTCCTTAAAATGAAATTTGATGGAATTTCATCATACTCTTTCATATTTAATATGAAAAACATATGACGACATAACAATCCTTCCTGGACAAAAAGCATGCAGCTACAACTGATGCTAATGCTATCACCCCTTCTACTAAATACAACCTACAAAATTATCATTAATAAACAAATTAATATGTCAATAAGAAATTCTATATCATACCATTCGATAAAAATTATACAAATTAACATCGATTCACATTATTAATCAACAGGACATTAGAAATCATAATACTATAATATAAATATGTACTTCAAATTAAATTCACAAAAAAAAATACATATTCCATACTAATCTAATGAAAAGTACAAACCAATTTATAACTCTATAAAAATTCACACTATGAATTAGCAAAACATCCTACATTTACAGTGTGAATTTTTAAACTACATTTTATATTTAATAAATTGTATTAGGACAAAGAGACATACCTTGTAACGAGTATTAGGACAATGAGAAGGAAGACTATTTCGATAAAATTCATCAGAATCTTCATCCTCATTCACATTTTTATCAATCAACTTTTTTTTCTTCTTATCCCTCAAAACATAAACTTCACTTTCATCTTCAATAACTAAAGATTCTTGAACACAATAAAACACAGATTTGTATAACTCTTTCTGAATGTCCAAGAAAATATTGTGTATAAATTTCCGATGCATGCTTTTCAATAGCCAAATAAGTCCTTAGCTTGGGGGTAGTAGTTGTGGACCGATAATCAAATAAAGATTGTTGATGCCTTTGCTTATCCATTGCACTATCAAACGACATCATGAACTTCACCAAATTTGATTTATGATGCAAAAAATGTGAGAAAGCATAATTCAGACTCTCTGATCTTGAAGTAGTTCGCATCAAACCAGAAAGTTCAAGATCTCTCATAAAAGTAGGAATCCATAAATCCCTTATTTTAAAAACAGGCCTTAACCAGTCATTTTCT